CCAGTTTCACTGTATATTTGTTTTTAAAAAAAGACCAAGAGTGCTGAACTAAATAGTCCTGTGGTCAACAGACAAGGCATTTTGCTGGAAAAGAACCAGAGGCAACAAAAACATTTTTTTCTTTGGCAAGAAAAGATGTTTGCATGTGATTTAATGCGCCGAGTGACTCATCTCACGTTTGTCTTTTGGCTTCTGTGCATTTTTTGGACAGCGGGGCTGCCAAACAGGAGTCGGGGTCCGACTTCACAAGATGCGGAGAAGGAGGGATGTCCAGGGGTTGGTCAAAAAAGTCAAGATGGGAGCCACACCTGCACAACCCAAACCCCACATCTTGTTTACACGCAACACACCTTTTAAAAGCGGCAGGGTTTTAATTAAGTAGCCAGTGGCCACCATCTTAACTTCTTGACCATCCCCTGGACTCTCTCCCCTACCTCTTGCTTTGCCCCATGCATTCCTTTGTTTGCATTAAAATTAAGCTTTAGTACCTATATTGCTTCCAACTTTAGGACTGGGTTTCGTGAACTAAAGTTTAAAAATCCCCCTCCCTGCCCCCAGTGTCATCTATATCTTCTTGAGGGCTACAAAAACAGCTGGATTCTATGAATCAGCAGAAGAACAATGGAGGAAAATGATGAATAATCTATTCCACTTTTAGACAAATGAGCTTCTGGTTGAAACAACTTATTTTACTGTTCTATTTTGTTTCCCAAAAAACTGGCTAGGATAAAAGTATTTATTGAGAATGAATATGGAGTTTAGACCTACCACAATATGTCCCCAGATGGAGCTTTTCTTCAAAGTCCTGTTTTCATGTGGGCTCCGTTCACCCAATGCCATTAAGTGGGCGAGTTGCAAATCTCCCAACTGCACTCACAAAACTTGTGAAGAAGCATGGCTCGCCCTAACTTTGATGAATTTCTTGGTGTGGCTCGGTGTATAATGTGAACCCGGGTCATTTGGTGAATTTCTGGTTCAGTGCATTAGCCAAAACCCTAAAGATAGATGAATTCAATCACCAGGCTAAGGGTGTTGTATGAACAGAGCCACTGTGGAGAGTCTGAAATTGGACTGGCTTTCAGACATCTAGCAAAGCCATGGTTTGCCTAAGCCAGCATTGGCTGGGTTCTTTCCACAGCAAATATAAAGCCATAAACCATGGTTTGCAAACTAGGGTCTATACTACTGCTGCCTGGGGAATTCTGGGAGTTGAAGTCCACACATCTTAAAGTCGCTGAGGCTGAGAGACACTGGTCTACACAATATGTTCAGCCTCAAACAAGCCACCTTATGACTATGTGTCTGATATAGACTTATCCTTTATCCTGTACCAGCTGAAGGTCTCTTGTCTCTAGGACCAAAAATATAATAGAGACCTTGACCAGGTTTAAACATTGCGTTAAATCATCATGTAATTGCTGGTTTGCCTCTCGGGGTTGTACAAGCCCAGCATTTCTGATCGATTAAACCAAAGTTTGTGGATTAGCATAATGTCTGAACCTAAGCCTTCATCAACAGCCAGAATCAGGACTGTGAATCCAATCCGACGGTGGCTTTCTGTGAGTGGCGATTGCCTGAAAGCATGGCACTTTATAAATAACTAAATTAATAGTGTTGACCTTTGCAGGAAGCCTGGAAACATGCCATTGAGAAAGCCAAACACATGCCCGACCCCTGGGCTGAATTTCACCTGGAGGACATCAAAATGGAAAACGCCACCCGCTACAGGTCGGTCAATGTTTCTTGCACGCTCGAGGTTTGGGTCGGAAGAATTGGTATCTTTGGCCCCAGGTGCATTACAAAAAAAATAAATGAATGCATCAGAACCAAGAGCCGCTTGATATTTCTCCTCCCCGCCTCTCCCGCTTTTTAAAAAGAAGGTGTTGTGATCTCGTTGGAAAGGGAAAAGCGATAAGGATTCATAACTGCTGAAAGAAAGCTGATGGTTGCAGAAATCAAATTAGCAAAATGGGTTATAATCGTATTCCCTCTTAGTTAATCGGTGCCTGAATTGTCGTTAATCTCATTATCCAGCAGCAGTGAACATCTTTCATTCTTGTCTCCTGAACTCTGAATAATTCCTTTTTGTGCGAGTGTGTGTGTGTGTGTAATTCAAATATTTACGCACAGGGGTCCCGTGGGTATTATTGGTAGTGACAACTGCATCTTATTTCTGAGTAGCTAAAAAAAGGTCCAATTGCGTGATTTTTACATAGATTCTTGTCTTGTTCATCACACAGATAGAATTCTTTCCCATATTTATAGATAATTTCTTCTTTTTCTCCCAAGCCTTGAAGATAAGCCAGCTAGTTGCCCAGTTCTTTGGAAGTCTTCAAATAAGGAAAAAAAAATGTCTGGAAAGACTTTTCTTCCAAGCTATTATTAGTCTGGCCTCTGTGCTCCTCTCAAAATAGTCTTTTTATTTTCCTCCTCTTGTGCAACCGTGTTCCCTTGGTCACCAAAGCCAGAATGGGATCCCCCCCCACCAAAAAAAGGAAGAGCAGAATGAAGTGTGGGGAATGTGCAGACATCAGGCTAACCTTTGACACGAGTGAAATCCCACAGTGCAAAGAGACACATGTTCTTCATCTCGGCACTCCACACGCCAGAAGCGAAGCGTGCATTTGAGGCATTGCTGGCGTTTCTGTTTTGCTGCTTTATAAGATCCAGCTGGGGTTTACGTAACCATGATTTTCCCACTGGATTCCTTTTCACCTTATAAAATTAAATCATGGTTACTTAAACCCCAGATCTGACTCAAAACCAAATGAACTGCTTTGGGTTTCCTGTCCAGTGAAACTGGGGGTCAGTATTGTGATGGAAACCCAAGGTGGGACTTCCATTATGGTGGTCTTCGAGGACCACCGTGGGTGGAGGTGGCCAGAAATGTCAGGACATAACTGGGAAGTGGATTGTCCAGATGTTTTGGGTAGTGTCCCTTCAGCTCCTTACACAAACACACACTCACACCCCCCTAAAAAAGAGAGACAGTTGAGGCAGAAAGTTTTTAAGGGGTGAAATTGAAAGCCAAGCTCTCCAAATTGCACGCATGCAATTTTCCAGCGATCCAGATGATCTCAGAACAGAATATTTTCTCCCACAGCTTTTGTGGAATCTGGATGGATGGATTATGACTGCATCTTCCGGACAGACCACAGTTATCGCCAAACTGGCTTAAGCTCTGAATGCCCTCTGGCCATTCGTTGCTATTCTTTGCATTCTGCTCACGGTTAGCAAAGGCTCACGAATGGTGAGAAGAAGACAAAGGTTCTTCTATGTGAGGCTGAGTGCGTCTTCCCAGCCTGATGTGGAAGCCTGCAAAGTTTAAACGGCAAAATAATGTGATTGCTCAGATATACCTGGTAGACGATGATTAGTGTGATGAGCCAGGATACTTGACTCAATGCAACCTGCTTCCGTTTTATTCTCGCAAAAAGGAAGGAAGGAAAATAATCTGAATTACTTGATGGATGATATTCTGCCCGCAGGATCTAGAAGGGGAAAAAAAATATTTACTTTGTACAAACAGGCATTAACAGTATATAACAGCCTTTCTCCAAACTGGTGTTCTCCAGATGGATTGGGCTACCACTCCCATCATTCCCACCTGGCTTAGCCATGGACCTTGAAAGATCTGGGATATGGTTCAGGGAAGTTGTTTGGTTTTGACTTAATGGCTCATGCTGGTTTATTCCTCAAATTATGATTAAAGGAAACAGTGGCTTCAGAGATACAAATTTGTGCCTTAAGTTGATTTCTAATCTGAGTTCATGCAACGTGTGAAGTGGTTTGCTTGTCTGTGGCTTTGAGGGTTGTGTGAATCCAGGCAGCGTGGTTTGTAAATCATGGTTTATGGCAGTGTTTTTCAACTTTGGCCACTTTAAGACATGTGGACTTCAACTCCCAGAATTCCCCAGCCATTATGCTGGCTGGGGAATTCTGGGAGTTGAAGTTCACACGTCTTAAAGTGACTAAGGTTGAAAAACGCTGGTTTAGGATGTACTGTGTGGTATGAACCCAGCCAACTGAGATTTGATCACTAAACTGTGGTTAAGCGGAGCCAAGCCTAAAACATTGGGTGAACCTAGGCACTGTACTTTTTACTGTTAGCAGTTGTCAGGGTGGGAAATCAAACGGTGGATTAGTGTTTGTATGAAGACAGACATTGTGTTTTTAAGAGTGTACAGTTAGGGAATCTTTGAGATCTGGATTTTTTAGGCTGTTTTTTCCTTATAATGCCATTGCTTCTGCTGCTGGAAATTGGGTGGGTATCTTATCATCCTCATTCAGCATATAATGGGTTGGGTTGGGTTGGGTTGGGTAAAACTGGATTGGGTTGGAGAA